CACACTTTGGCCAATTCTCATTGTAGGCAGAGTTGATATTAGTAGACTTGACACAAGTAGAGAATTCAAAGGTGCTCACATGGTTGGGGAGTTGTTCTTTTTGGCTTCCGGAATTACCCTGAGAAGTGCATGATCCAGCTAGGAAATAAGAGACACATAAATCCCCCATAATGTGTAGCCAAGATGAAAAGAAAACCATGTTATTTTGAACTATTGAGATTTGGGTTGGTTTTTATACCAAACCCCCCCCCCCCAAAACTGGTTAACTATTTCAGTCGATCCTACTGAGATTTACCTCTCAAAAATTCTTCTTTAACTTCAGCTATTTTATGAAACTGGATTTTGCATTATGAAAATGGATTTGCATTTGCATTACTTAGACAATAGCCTAAGGTAACAGATTCTGGGCCACTATTCTCAGACACTAACCTTGCCACAAAGGTGATTTAAAATATATATAGATAGATAGACAATAATAAAGTTGTAGGTAAGGTGGTATAGTGGGTTTTATGTATATGATTATGTGTATGTGGTTTTAACAAAAGATACAGCATCAATACAAATAATATTTGCCTCATTCTTGTGAATAATGTGCTTTGTTTGACAATTTTAGGAGCCACACTGGATAACAACCAATATGTTTATGATATTCCTGTGGGGAAATATTCAAATGATGTAGTGCTTTCTTTATCTTAAGGTAAACTGATACTATTTAATGAAATTTTATTTCTTGCATTTATGGAACCCCTTCCCACCAAAAAGCTCAGGTGCTATTTAAGCTTTCCCTTGATTCTTAGATGGATTTTAAAATAAGAAGTCATTTACCAGTCAATGCATGATGTGAGAATATCCAAGGCACATCTGGGACAATTATTTTCCTGTTTTGCGTAATTTTATTGTTCTCTGCCAATCTGGTTTCATTTCTCCAAAATAGCCAGAGAAAATTCCACTTCCCTTACATAATGGTAAATAAGCTAAACCTCACAATGTGTTTATTTTAACTGCAATTCCACTAGATTTGTCTATGACTCATTCCAAGCTACAATTTTTAAAAGTCCATATATGAGGAATAAGTCATTACTTAATCTCCTCCTCGCCTCTCTCTTTTGGATGGAGAATTTACTAAGGTGTAGCCTATAGGGATTCAGGCTTAGGGCCCACCCTTGCGACTAAGAAAAATTAAAAACAAACACTTGGGGACAATTTATTCCACTTATGGCTGTGTTAGTTCTCAGATATGCAGAGATTACAAAACAGTGGGAGAACACACAAAATTAAGCAAAACTTTGACTAAGATAATGATGACCTGGCCCTTTTCTCAACCAGGCTGTCATTTCTACTCTTTAGATAGTTCTCTCTCTCTCTCTCTTTTTTCAGCTATTTCTTGACATCCATTCTTCCATAATTGCCAGTATTTCACTCCAGGCTTTCAACTTTGCCAGGCAACATTTGTCAGTGTTCTCATGCTTGCATTGTACATGGCTCAAAAAAAAAAAAAAAACACCCTACATCATTAGTCAGATATTTACAGAGATAACTCTGTGACAGTTATGGTATGGCAAATCCATAGATGTTAACCTATAGGGCAAAAAAGAAAGAAAAAAATATCCTCAAAACTCTACCTCTTTATCCTTTACTTTTCCTCCACACACAGCAATATTTATCATATCTAAAGACTAATAACTGATTCGCATTAAGACCTTTTCAGAAAAATTTATTTAAAAATCTTTTAATTTTTTAAATGATTAAGAAAATATTTTAATAAAACAGAAGCTGTTTCTAAAAAGACAATTTGTCACTATGATAACATGTAAAGAATACTTGCCTAGAAGTCAAAAGGCTTTGGCTGATATCATTGATCTGCTAAAAGTTTTGATTTAGGGTAAGGCACTTACCTTTACTAGATGTTAGTGTTCTTTTTTATAATATAAAGATAATGTCAGTTGTGCCAGCAGTATAAAACTGTTGGGAGTATGAAACAAGAGAATGCCAGAATTGATCTATGTTTAAATAGTATCAGAATTTTTGTAATTAGTTAAAACTAAGGATTAGCAAAAATAATGAAAGGAATAATGATTTACTTATATTTAGAGATGCTCAATTCTGACATATACCATTATTTAGGCTACCTAATATTGATTTTGAGGATGGTTTACTAAGTTTACTGAGTCTCCTTATAGAGTCTTAGAATTAATAGTTTGAGAAATCCCTATAGCAGGTTGAGGTAGGCTGAAAAATGACCCCTTTCCCTCCAAAGATATCCATTTCTTAATCCCTTCAACTGGTAAATGTTACTTTACTTGGGCAAGAATTGGTCTTTGCAGGTGCAATTACACTGAAAGTTTTGAGATGGAGAAATTATCGTGGATTATCTGGATGGACCCAAAATGCAATCACAAATACCCTTTTTAGTGGAGGCAAAGGGGGATTTTACACACAAAGAAGAGCAGAAGGCAATGTGATCATAGAGACAGAGCTGGGACTTGTGGAGCTATGAGCCCAGGAACTCTGGCAGCCACCAGAAGCTGGGAGAGGCAAGGAAAGGAGTCTCCTTTATTATACTAAGAAGGAGAGCGTGGCTCTGCAGATCCCTTGATTTTGGCCCAGTGACATTGGTTGCAGACTTCTGAACTCCAGAATTATGAGAGAATGATTTTTTATTATTTTAAGCCACTAAATTTTTAATAATCTGTTACAGGAGGCTTAGAAATTAATACAGATACATTAGCCCTACAGTTATCAGATCTCTTGTAAGCAAGAAAAATCTGCTTTATACAAAACATGGCTTCATAATAAATAAATAAATTATACAAACCAACAAACAGGCAGAGAGTAGGTGCTCTTTACATATAAGTCTTTGTTCTCCTATTCCATGGAAAAGTATTCAAACAAGTCTTTACCAAATGACTACCTTTTACTCAGAATTTACCATAAGCCAAGCACTTTTTAAAATGTTCATTGTGCATTAAACTTATTTCATCCCCATTTTTCAGACGAGGATAGCAAGACACTGAGAGGTTACTTAACTTAGGTCACACAGTGATTGGCAGAGCCAGATCTCTAATCTAGGCAGCCTGGTCCAGAATCAATTTTTATCCAAAGTCAAGATGGAGTCCCAACATAGCAGAGCAAGACCCAAATGTGATTCTCGAGGGAGTTACAGTCAGGAGGTATTACTGTAAAAACTATGTACTTTATCAGTTGATCTATTATATAACACACTCAGTTTTCACATGAAGCCACACTGCTCTGGGAACACATTCAGTCAAAAGCCACAAGGATACTGCAGCAGTGACACCTCCTGGCCTCAGGATGCACCATTACATGTCTGCTCTGCCTTTCCCAGGGAGACAAGATGCAGAGACAATGGATCTGCCCAGAACACCATATAGCATATTGTACAGACCTAATTAATGTAGCCAGAAGCCTGTCCCTCATCATTGTAGTCAATAATACCTTTCATTCATCCATTCAATTGATGGTTATTGAGTGAAGAACACTCTCCTAGAACTCCTGCAGGTGATGCAGAAGTGCACACTTCCCACCCTGAAGGAACCAGCAATGTAGCAAGAGATCCAGGCTGCCATTCTGTGTTTCCAAAGCACTTAATAACCCAGCACTGGACATCTAAGATCCACATGTTTTTCAGTGTTTATCATAGACCACGGTAAGATAAATATTATTTGGTATTATTTGAATCACTGTTACTTGTAAGCATTGGGAGAGGTCTTATTTTCATCATAAAGTTTTTCCTTGGAACATTTAGATCGCTATTCTAAGGACAGCTGTTCTAGGGTATGCTGGTTCTACTTTGTATTCTGCAACCCTGTGAGTATCAAAAATGTCTGTCATCCTCTTCACATACCAGTCAGGATCTGAGTGCAGAACTCTGTGTTACTCCTGAAAGAACTGGGGATATTAGAATAATCTAAAGCAGAGTGTATTCCTACACTGTCTTTAGATCTTGAGATAATAAACAGAAACTTGTTGTATTTTTTCCAATGAAAAAGAAAGGTATCTCAATTTTTTTTCAAGACAGTCTGATTCCTCTTTCTCAGAGCAATGTCAGAAAACCTTGACCTGTTTTGTTTTGTGGTTTTTTTTTTTTGAAACAGACTGCATCGGTCGAGACTTTGTTTCACATAATATGTGGAAACAGCCATGCTGAGTCTGAAGAGAAGTAAAATGCATTCACCTCTACAGATCATCTTTTACCCAACTTTAGAAACATTACTCAAAAGTTCAACATATTCTTGAGTAATTAAGAAAATTATTACATGCCATTTTCAATAAATTTGAGAATCTCTTCTCTAAAGTATGGTTCCAACTTTCAAGATATTACCATATCAATTTCTTAACACCAGCATAAACTCTTTCTTTTTTTTTTTTTTTAGGAAAGATCCTTTTATTGGGGTGGACATGGAGCACGCACCAGTCCATGATAAAATGACTTAAGAGAAAGATCCGGAAGAGCTGACTTCTCCCTGTGGCGAGCTCTCAGAGCAAGGTCCGGGCATAGAATAGGTCCCGGTGGAACTAAAGTCAAGGCCAAGTCTTTAAGGCCAGACCAGTGAACGGAAGTGGGGAGAAGGGCCCCCCCCCCAAGTCACCCAGCTGCAGCAGGGCTCATCTCTAGACACTCACAGACAGACTCTGGTTCTCCAGAAGACTGGGAAGCAGGAGGAGGGGGTCTGGGGTGGGGTGGGACAGTGAGTAACAATGTTGTTTTTTAAGAAGCATCTACCAACATCACACTACGGGGTCTGACGTCCCTTTTAACCATCGCTTGGTACATTTTACAGCATAAATAAAGACTCAAGGAAAATAAATACATCGGCTCCTATGAGGTTGGAAGTGGTATGCATGGCGGGGTGTGGGCAGGCAGGCCGGCGGGGTGGGCAGACAGGGTGCTTACACAGCAGGCGGGTGAGGAGCAGACAAGACAGGAAGCACCTATCAGGGAGTGTGAGTCTTAAGTGTCCTCGTGCATGTCTGGGCTGTCAGTCCGTGCGACTTTGCGATGGGGATGGGGGAGCCGAGCTCTCACCCTCAAGGTCCACTTGCTCCTGGTCTCTCTTCTGGGCAGCATTCTTTCTGTCCCATTGCTGATGTAGATAGTGCAAAAGGATGTTCGTTTTTTCTGTCACAATGATCTGTTCGGATGGGTACTCCCGCGTGGGCAGGTAGACTGAGGGGCGTCGATTCCAGGCTTTACACACAGAGTCAGCATGAAATCGACTAAAATTGCTTTTGTTGTAGACGGGCAGTCCTTTCAAAAAATCTGCCATCTTCTGCTTCCTCTGTCGCCACCTCAGCTACCGCCTCAGCTGCCACCACAGCCACCTTCTTAGCTGCCGCTGCACAGTAACCAGCATAAACATTTTCTTCTCACAAATATTGTACACACACACACACACACACACACACACACACAAAGAAATTTCTAATCGAGAGACTTTTTGTGACCTTGCAATAGAAACAAGTTCTAGAAGCAGCAGCTTTTCTTGTTGGACTGTTGCAAATGTCTCATATTTAAGGACCAGTATCCACAGTTGTCTACTGAATGCCATGAAAGGATGTATGCAATATACAGAAAATGATAAAATATGACTTTTGTATCTGTCCACAAAAATAATTATGGAGCACTATATACAGGGCAATGTATGCAATGCCCTCAATACATACTTTATTCATAAGATAAATACATAATCAGATCTAGGCCAGCCACAAAACTGTCATGGGGATGTAAAATACAGCACAGGGCATATAGTGAATAATACAGTAATAAGTATATATGGCACCAGGTGCATACTGATAATATTGGAGGCACTGCTCTGTAAAGTATATGATTGTCTAACCATTATGCTATACACCTGAACTAATACAAAGTAATATTGAATGTAAACTTTGATTGAAAAATAAAAATAAAATAAAATCTTTAAAAAGATTTAAAAACAGATATAAGCCTCAAATTCCTACTATGTGCCGGATACACAGTAGGTATTTAATCACATTTCCAGTTCCCTAACATTACTGAGAAGTAGATATTTTTGGTCCCTGGATGACAGATGAGATTCTGAAAGGTTACAAGGTCAGTATTTTGCAGGACTGGAACTCCATTCTATGACTCCAAGCCCTTCCTGTTTCTCAGCCTAAAAACATGAGGCAGGATGCAACAAGAAGCAAATGGGTGCTACAGTGTGTTTCTAGAAGTCTCTTCAAAGCCCATCAGACAAAGTCCTGAAACCCTAATGAACTTTTTAAAGTGGAAGGGAAAGCAGTGGAATTGCGAAGGTACAATTGATTAACACGATAGACCAAGTGCTGTGTGTACTTAGGTGATACTACCCACTTCTGAACTACTTGGCATGAGTTAAAAGTCATTTGTATTCAATGGCCAGGACTCTCCAAACACCATTTCAAAAACTTATATATCTATCCACACATGCCCATATATGCATACAGGTGTATAAACACACACACACGTAATTACAAGCTATCTTTTTTGGAACTAGATGAGCAATAGCTAGCAATAGATTTGATAGGAAATACATGAAATGAAACATAATAACCTTTTTCCCTACCCTAGGCTTTGTCTTAACAGAGTGCCTTGGATCCTTGAAAACAGAGGCATAAAAGTCCTCAGTTCCCAGTTTGGTATAAAAAAAACATCTACACCAGAAATAACATTGATGTTTTTCAGTACCATTAGAAAACACTGTTATTGAACAACAAGGAGACAAGGGGGCCAAGGGCAATATACTGTTACCCGAAAGGAACACCCCAGGTTTGTTATGTCTACCGCTAGAGGAAAGATGTCTCTCAATGCCAGAGATTCGTGAAAAGGAAAGGAAATGTTTATTTAATGCTATACAAACTTAAAGTAGTGAACTAATGGCTTCATCAAAATCCCAAAGTCCCTTAAAACACCCACAAACACACACAGTCCTTCCTTCCCCCTTTGCCCAGTCTGGGGTACCGTATTTCAGGAAAAGAAATAGGATTCCGTGGCTCAGGCAGCCCCCAGTTCTTCCCAGTAATCTGTCTCGGCTGGTAGGCCTCCCTCGGTTCCCATCAGCTGTGTTGCTGGGATCTCTGCTAAAGTTGGGTGGTGGTTCCCCCTTCTAAAGCTGCAAGGGTCCCCACTCTGCCAAAGCTGCGTGGTTTTCCCTCCTCAATGGTCGCAAGGAGGGGGGTCACCACTCTGCCAAAGCTGAGTAGCGGTTCTCTGCTAAAGCTGAATGGTGATTCTCTCTCACAGGGCTGAGGGAGTCCCCACTCTGCTAAAGACCGAGTGGTTCTCCTGAACTGGCTGTGGTCCTCTCTATCACAGGGCTGAGGAAGTCCCCACTCTGGCAAAGCCTTGTGGTTCTCTCTCCCAGGGCCATGGGAGTCCCCACTCAGCCAAAACCGCATGGTTCCCCCCAAGGCTGCCACATCTCAGTTTAAATCCCCACGCCAATCTTCCTCTGCAGCCCCATTTCCAACTCCTTTCAACATCGGCTACACTTGCTAGCCCTCTCATATCCTTCCAGCTTTACTAGGCTGCCATTCTGAGTCTGGGCAGGTGTGGCCCCATATCATGGAGCCAATCTTCTCCAAGCTCCCACGCAGGCGTTGTAACTTGGGGGACTTGCCTCCCAGTTACATCTTAGTGGGGAAGTTACTTCCATTCCCCTGGCTCAGAGCATGACCACAGCTATTTCATATCTATGCAACCAGTTAAAGGTTATAGATATGTTAAATGACCACACCAAAGGTTAGTTGCAAAACTGTTATTATGCAAAACAGTTCTCAATGGTCCTGCTCCATTTGTCCCTTCCCCCAACCCACACCTGTGTGGTGGGCGGGGGGTGGGGGGGGGGTGAGGACATCCTAATATTTCCTGAACACTTTGAGTTTTGGACCCCATTTCAAATCCCTATTTGGGCGCCCCCCACCTCTTGGCTGCACCCTGTTACAACACCTGATGACTCTTCTCATACAAATGGTATGAAAATGTATTCATTCACAACTTATTTGAGACATATATGCAACCTCCTTCCACTTCATCTGTAAATGAGATTACTTATGTCAGGAGATAAATATGGTCCTTTGCTGAGATACTAACATATGCAGTAGTGACAGTCCAGTATCTCAGACATGACAGATGTTCCGTAAATTAAAATATAGTACTTGCAAGTACACTGCAGTTCTTCCAAGTGATCCTCGAATTTCCACATACATCTCAGAAGCCTACTCAGCCTTATGAGAAAGCAGCAGTTTATTTAAACATGATTTTGGAGGTGCTAAAATGATTCCCTCACATTTCACTACCTCCCCATTACCTTTAATTCCCCCTAAAGAACCACTCCTTTTGAGTTCTAAAGCCTTTTTGGTCCTTAGAATACTCCTTATTAAAATGCACCTACCACTGGGGCCTCTGTTGGCTGATAAGTAGAGGAAATACTTATCAGCTGGTGTTTCTACTGTGACAGCTGGCAAAGAATAGCATTCTCCAGGAACAAGATATGGGACTTCTGCCTTGGGGTGATTGTACAGCTTGGCACGGAGTAGTGTGGAGGGAGAGAAACAAAGACCAACCTTGCCTATTTCACAATATTGCCCAGGGGCAGCCTTGTTAACTGATTTTATCATTAAGATATCTTGCTTGACAATTTCAAATCCTATGACTTGCTACTAGGTAATACTCAGTACTGTTTTCAGGCTACTAGTAAATTACTGCTTCAGTGCACTGAATGGTGTACCATGTGACTGAAAGACGGACTACAGTTTCCTAAAGAACACAGCTCACTCCAAAGAAATTAGTTGTTTTACACCCTAGTAGAGTCAAACTCAGTAATGTCTGTCTTTTACAGGTCCACTGGAAGCTAAATTTGAGCTAAGTTATTCCACATATGTGTCCCCCGAAAATAACATGTCCTATCACTATAGTGACAACTGTTTTTCCCTACTATAAAAAGGCATTTTACCCACATACTCTAAATTCTAAAACAAAAATTTGCAAGCTAACTAGTATTGTGCCCATTTTGCAGATACTGAAATTGCAACTAGAGAAACACAAAACTACTAGGTAAGAGAGTTTGAACTTGCTGACAGGACCAAGCACGTCCCAACACACTGCATTGCCCATCCACAAACAGGGGTCTTGCATTTTTATTATTTAGAACTTGTGATCAATTTCATCACTGTCATCAGACAATACTGAGGTCCTGCTGGTCACCAACCAAAGAGGCAGCACCTCAGGGAACACACAGATGACTTTTGCATCACAAAAAGATGAATAATATTTTAACATAATGTGTATTATTGCTTAAGGGACAATACAAACAATAAAGGTTCCAAAAGTTTTTGATCACTAAAAACTATGATATGTACAAAGTTGTATTAGTTTCAGGTGCACAATCCCAAGATTAGGCATTTATATAACTTACAAAGTGATTACCTTAATAAATCTAGTAGCTATCTAATACCATATATAGTTATTACAGTATTATTGACTGTATATGCTGTACTTTGCATCCCTATGACTATTTTGTAACTGTAACTTCAGAATTGTAATATTAAAATAAATAAATATAAATCACATTTTTTTCTAAATTAAAAGTTAAAAAAAGGAGAGAAGTGGCCCACACATTCAAATGTCCCTTAGAGCATCAGCCCCCAACGTTTTTGGCACCAGACACCAGTTTCATGGAAGACAATTTTTCCACAGACCAGGGAGAGGGAATGGTTTCAGGATGATTCAAGGGCACTGCATTCAAGCTTACCTCCTGCTGTGCAGCCCAGTCCCCAACAGGCTCAAACCTATACCAGTCTGCAGCCCGGAAGTTCGGGACCCCTGCCTTAGAGGTCCAGTATGACAATATTTTTTAAAAGAACTGTAATGATCAGAATAAAGGATGTGGCAAAGACAATCTTATCAGAACCCATTAAAATGATGTAGAAGTTTCTCATTGACAATGATTGACATTTTGGGTGGCATAATTCTTTGATGGGAGTGGGGAAGGGAAGCTGTCCTGTTTTTGTAGAAAGCTTAGCAGCATCTCTAGCCTCTACCCACTGAACACCTGTAGCACTGCCCATTTATGACACTCAGAAATTTCCCTAGACATTGCCAATGTCCCCTGGGAGAGCAAAATTACTCTAGGTCAAAGCCTGTAATAGGAAAAACATTTAGAAATGCAAAGTTTAATAATATATTATTTTCAAGTGAAAAGTGGTTATAAAATAACTCTTTTTGAAAATAAGTATATGTTTACCAAAAAATAAAACTTTAAGAACATCAAAGTGCTAAAGTGGTCAGCCTGGCGGCAGGAGAATATGTAATTT